GTGTGATGTGCATGCAGCGTCAGAGAGGCAAAACTTCGTAGCGAGGAGCCTCTCACACGTTGAGCGAAACACTGCTAGATTTAGTGAGGGTGAAGGGACTGCGCGGTGCACTGTTATTTGTGTGAAAGGGGAATGCTCGGTTAAGCTGACCGTCCGTTTTGCGGGATGTGCTTTTGGTTTATAGGGAGTGCGTGTTGGATATTGAGCTGTGGAGTGGCTTGGCAGCTATTGATTAAGGGCTTCGGCTCATTGGCCTCCTGAGGAAGCTGGTAGTCTGTAATGGGTAGTTCCTCTTCAAGCGGGAGTGTTGGGGCACAGAGCGTAAGTGGCGGTTTGTTCTGTAGTGGTGTTTATTGTATAGCTCGTCTGCCGATGGCGTTGCAACTCTGCTCTGATGGTCTATGCATTTGTGAGTGTTTGTGGGTTGCGTGGGAGTGTGGTTTGTGTGTCCGTTCTTCAAGCGGGGTCGTGGTGAGGACTGTTTGCCCAGTGGGACGAGGACGTCCGAGGGAATCATACGGCCATAGGCGGTCGCTGAATTGCAACGTGCAGGGAGTGCGTCTTCGAAGTGGAAGTTCTAGAATCACGTAGTGGTCGCGCGTCCACATTGTTAACCGTGCACTAGGCATTTTGTATTTATGCAAAATGCGTGTGATGAGCTGTGTTGGATCGTCTTTCACTATTGCGCGGAGCACTGTCTGTTTCGTGGAGGTTGGACGTCGGAATGATTGTTCCTTTTAAATGCGCCGGTTACCTTGATTATTTGCAGGAAGTACGTGTTGCAGTTGTAGTTGCTGTACCTCAAGCGCCCGATGGAGTTAATCATTGAGTTGCGAAACGATGTTATAATGAGTGAGGGTGAAGGGACTGCACGATATAATCCTGCAATTTGTGTGAAGGGGAATGGTTGGGTAAATTGGTCGTTTTTCACGCCATGTGCGTTTGATTTGCAGGAAGTGCGTGTTAGGGAGGTGGGGTTGTGGAGTGGCATGCAATGAATTGATTTAGGGCTTCAACTCATTGACCATCTGAGGAAGCTGCTGTTTTGCGCGCTTCAGCGATCGAGAGACGGTTAGAGGCGATCGGTGCATTGCAATATATAGGAGGTGCGTGCTGGAGGCTGCCTTGTTTCGTCGTGATTGATGCAGCTGATTTGTGGAATCACATTGTCGTCCGTGCATTAGGCATTTTAGACTTGCGCAGAATGCGTGTGATGGACTGTGTTGGGTCGTTTTCCAACATTGCGCAGAGGGAAGCCTGTTTCG